GCAAAATGTTTTTAGTCTTTACTGATTGTTGTTTTAAATATTTTGTTTAAAAAGATCTTTTCTTGTTTATTATTTAATTATTAGAGCCTGTAGGTTGTTAGTTCTGATGAGCTGCTGCGCTGTGTTCTGTTCTGCTTTATGAACATGAAGCCTGTTACAGGAAGTGAAAAGAATGACTGACAGAACCGAATAAGACTATTTGAGAGAACAGAAACTTCTGCAGCTTCATCTCTCTCTCTCTCTCTCTCTCTCTGGTGTGTCCAGGTGTCACTCGGCCCTCCCTCTCTCTGCTGCCCCCCTCCAGTGAGGAGCTCCGGCAGGAGAAGGCTACACTGCTGTGTTTGGTCAGTAAGGGCTTTCCCTCAGACTGGACACTGAGCTGGAAGGTGGACGGTAGCAGGTGGAGCTCAGGTGTGGTGGTCAGCCCCGGCATGCTGCAGCAGGGAAACGGCCTGTACAGCTGGAGCAGCACGCTGACCCTCACTGAGGACCAGTGGAGGAAGACGAGGGCAGTGAGCTGTGAGGTCAGTCACGACTCCAGCACAGCAGTGAAGAAGAGTCTGAACACACAGCAGTGTATCGAGAACTAACACACACACACACACACACACACACACACACACACCCTCTCTCTCACACACACACACCCTCTCTCACACACACACACACACACACACACACACACACTCTCCATCAGTCTGCAGTGTGTACGAGTGTTTCTGCTGACAGCAGCTCCTACATCATCTTACAGCTCCATCTCAGATCTTCTCCTTCATCCTCAACTTCACTTCCATTCACTGCTTTAATCGTGTCTGCAAAATAAAACCTTTTACAAACTTCACTGTTTCAGTCTGATCTGGAATTATTTACACAGCATACAAAGGACTGTCCACAAGGGGGCGTTTAACCAGCTACAGTGACCCAGACTCAGTGATGTAAAATCAGAAAAAAATGGCCTACGACAGTTTCACTGTTGTCCAACATCTGCTTGTTAACAAATTTCAGTGGTCACTGCTGAAGGAAAATGTGCACAATGACAATGTTTAAATGAAATATGACATAAAAAGAGAACTAATGACTAGAGATGAATCACTAGATCACCCCTAACTAATCAACAACAGTGCAATCAAAACTAGGTAAACTATTATTAGAAAGACTGGAATCACTTTCCACATTAACTAGTGTTATTGTTTTCAGTAATAAGTTATGTACAAGAAAAGACTGAAATATTATAATCTACAGACTAGATGGTATTTTAAGATCATTCATTTAATATTTTAACTTTTTGGATTTTTCTGTTTACTTAATTAATAGTAATGTCTTGATAAGCTATCTGCTGGGGTTATGTTTACCACATTTCAGACATGAGGCATTTTGGGTGATTTCCTCTTCTTGTTTGATACAGGATTTCAGCTGATCATCAGTTCAGTGTCTCCTTTGTCAGTTTTCATTTCATAATGCGCCAAATGTTCTCAGTGGTGACAGATCTGGACTGCACGCAGGACAGTTTATCACCCAGACTCTTTTAATACAGAGCAATGCTGTTGTAATACGTGCAGAATGTGGTTTGACATTGTCTTGCTGAAATAATCAAGGCCTTCCCTGAAAAAGACGTCGTCTGGATGGCAGCATATGTTGACAGAACATGTATATATATCGTTCAGCATTAATGGTGCTTCACAGATGTTCACGTCACCCATGCCATGTGCGCTAATGCCGCCTTCTACCATCAGGAATACTGGCTTTTGAACTGTGCAGTGATAACAAGCTGAATGGTCTTTAGCCCGGAGAACACAGTGTCCATGATTTCCAAAAAGAATTTCAAATGTTGATTCGTCAGACCACAGGACACTTTTCCACTTCCCCTCAGACCTAATGACCGAAGACCTTAATTAATAGTAATGTCTTGATAAGCTATCTGCCAGGGTTGTGTTTACCACATTTCAGATATGAGGCATTTTAGATGTTAATTTTATTAGAACTAAATTCTTGATGTTCTACAGCTTCCCCAGTCATTTTAGAATCTTCTACAGCTCAAATCATTACTGAGGACACATCTAGTATTTCTGCATTTTTATTTACAGCTTCCCACTAATTAGTTGAAATCTGTGAAGATGTAAAGTTCTACAACCAAAATATTTTAATGCAGGTATTTTCAACAAATGAGTTTTATTTTATTAAAAACACTGATTTCAAACTTGAACGATGGTTTAAATAGTTAAAACTTGTTTATTGTAAATGTGTTGGAAAGTTGATAGATTGTTTGCATGTGAATGAGCTCACAAACTATTCCTGTAAATAAGTCAAACTGCTGTCAGATGAACAATTACTGAAAATGTATTCAAATTAGTTTATTAAAGTCGTGCTGAAGTTGCAGAAGCTCCACAGTGCTGCTCTGATCTTCATCAGCCGTTCTGCTCATGCAAATCTGAGTTTCACATCTCAAACACACCCAAACCCCCTGAGACTGAGACAGCTGTGTGAGTTTGAGGGGATTTCCATCACTGGTTATCAACCAATGAAGAAGGAATCATTATTGATCCTGGAGTGACTTTCTCCAAACACAACTCATGAGATTGTTACAGCTTCACAAATGATAATAAATGGTCCAACACAGCTTCATGTGGTTCCATCATCTCCTCTGTTTCTGCTACTGTAATAAAGGAAACTCTCACTGTGTAAAACAAGATCTCAATGTTCATAAAACACAAATAAACAAGAACCTCAGTGAACATCACCAGAAGAACAAGATGTGGTTCTTCACTCTACGCATTCTTCTTTCCAGCTCTCTGAAACATGCTTGTGCTTGTGTCTTTACAGCATCTTCCTAACTCAGTTGAGAAGTGAGGAGAACATTCAGAGCAGCCAGGATCTTTTAAATCCTTACAAAGTTTCAGCTTACAGGGTCAAATTTCTGTCCCACAGCAGAACTCACTGCAATTAACTAGCACCCAAACCTCCGGGCAGGGCTTCTGAGAACAGTCAGGTTTAGTGGACTGCACCTGCTTTCAGACCATATATAAAACCTGAGAGTATAAGACAAAATAAACTTCTGGTCCATTGTTCCTTTGTTCTACTGGAACATGATGCTGGTTCAGTGTTTAAAGCTCAGCTCCTGGTTGGCTCAAAAAGTTTTTGCTGTTACAGCAGCAGATAAATCACATCAGTGCTTTGTGATGCAGAACTTCATGTTATGTTTATATTTACATTTACGGCATTTAGCAGATGCTCTTGTACAGACTGACTTACAAAACTGCTTTGTTGTCCACACTGAAAATGTATCCTAGCAACTATGAATAGGTGGAGTCCAAACTACCCCTGAGCTCAGATACTGCCAGAAAACAAAAGCCAGAGCTGATTCTTAGAAAGATACAGAGTTAAACACAGCATAAGTGCAATATAATCCAAAAGTACTTTGATTCAGTTTACATTTTAAGACCGTGAGAGAGTCGCTGTTCAGACAGCAAGTTCGTTCCACCAACTGGGCTCCAGGACAGAGAAGAGTCCTGACACTCATCTTCTATGCTTCCTGAAGGATGGCGGTGAGCAGTACTTGAAGCTTTAAGTGTTCAAGGTACAGATTGAGTTTTGACCATTTCATCAGCTAGGGGGCTGGTCTATTTATGGCTTTGTAGAATTTTAAATCTGATGTCTGATATACACTCAGTGACTGTATATGATATATACAGGGATGGGGGAGTAGCTAACTACAAATGTTTGTAGCTAGTAGCTGTAGCCACTACAGTTTTATGAAATGTAGCTAATAGCTGTAGCGCCTACAAAGTTTTGTGTAGCTATAGTGATATTTGCTATAACCTCGCTACCGGCTTCAGTCGATCCACACAAAATCTGAACCATAGAATGTGGTCGGTAACTGGGCTGGTAGTGACTGTGCAGCCCTGACTGAGCCGCGGACAGTCTGAGAAAACGGGCACACGCTGATCAACCCTTACGAGTAGGCTTAGCTCAGGGGTCACAACCAAAATGTTAAGAAGAACAATTTTGTCCCTTCAACAACAATGAAACCACCTCGGGAGCCACAACATTTTATGTCTGTTTTACCATCATGACTGTAAATATGTCTCAGTATGTGCTGATGTAAAATGCAGACTTACTTTGCTCTGCTTGAACCTTTAGCTCAGCTATAGCTGCTTTTCTCGCACTTCAGTCAGGAAACTTTTCTGTGAAAGTAGAGTTTCTTGTAAAATGTCTCTCAACATTCGACTTTTTACGAGGCTGAAGTCGCTTCTCATTCACCAGCTTCTTGTTCGAATTGTCCCGTTCCTCCTTAAATGGTACCTGAGGTGCCAGAATGTACTGCTGCACCATTTAAGGTGGAACGGGAAAATCTGAACAAGAAGACGACGAAAGAGAAGCGACTTCACAACTTAGTGTTTGACAGTTTCTCGTTGTAGATTAAGTGTATTCAGCTGGAGTGATTATAAACACAAACAAGTCCATTTATCTCCAAATGATCGATGTTCGTCTTAGATTTTTCTCTTTGCCATTTCCGTAGCTACGAGCTGGGTGAGGTTGTTTGCGTCGCTGTGTGACCAACAGTCTGCTGATTTTTGTTAGGAAAACCTGGAATGATTGACTTTGCCTTTACTTAGTCAAAATTTTTATTGGTTATCACATCTTTGGTTGTGTAAGTTTGATTGTACACCTAAACTCACTTTTTGGTGATCTTTTTGTATATTTGCAGCTTTTCAATCATATGTTTCTTTCTGGCTCATGATTAAATGCAGTGTCTTGTTCACACCGTCAGTTGGGCTTGTTTGGTGTGTCAGGTGGAGATTTACAAACATACTGACAGTCGCGCTTTGGAAGTAGCTAAAAAAGAGCCACTACTCTTTCTTGAAAAGTAGCCAAATTGTAGCTGCTACACATTTTGGGAAAGTAGCTAACTACACAGTTTTCAGTAGCTATCCCAACTCTGGATATATATATGATATACAAACTCATTGACTGTATATATTACACGTGATATATGCACTCAGTGACTGTGTATATGATATATAAACTTATGAACTGTATATTTTATAGATTCGATATACACATTCATGGGTTGGAATATTCAGACACTGTTGCTCTCATTGAACATCAATGATGAAAATTAGAAATTTTGTTCACTGTATTTTTAATGTTCACCCTGCTTTCAAGTGAATTAATATTCAGGTCAGTGTTGAATTACTGAAAGTAATAAATACACTCTGATGAAGCAAACTGTGTCTGCTCATAGCTATAACACAATAACTGCTTTATAAATGGAAATAAATATCTATTTAGGGTAAAAAATTAGCAAATATAACAAATGTGATTAGTTATTTTAACTTTTTGACAGTTCTTTATATTTAAAATATACCCTTCTTGTTTTTCAACAAAATTGCATTATGGATCTTTTCATGGGCCTTACCTTTGGTGCCGTTCAGGGAACTGCTTTGAATTAGTTTGACTTTTACTTGAAAGACACAATATTTTCTGTTAAGATAGAACATTTCACTCTTTTCATCAAGACCAATAAAAACAGAACTACAGTTGAATAATAATAACTATAATATTAGTAACACTGTGTGGTTCAGTAGCTGCAGCTGCAGCAGTGCAGTTTCTCTGCGTCTGACTGAGGGAGGTTTTTGTACGACTCTTTTTCACTGTGTGAACACTGGACCATTATAGTGACCCATACAGTAATAATCTCCTGCATCTTCAGGCCGGACTCCACTGATGGTCATCGTAAAGGTGTATCCAGAGTATGTTCCACTGAATCGCTCTGGAACTCCAGAATCCCTATAACTTGATGTGTAAATCAGCAGTTTAGGAGCTGCTCCAGGTTTCAACTGGTACCAACTGATGGCATAACCGATCCCACGACTTGCAACACAGCTGAAAGTGACGGACTGTCCTGGTTCAACAGAACTTCTCTCAGGAGTCTGGACCTCTTGGTGGGACACTGAAGGAACGAGAACAAACACAAACTAAGAGAATGAATAAAACCTCCAAAACTGTAGGAGAACACTGTCAGTGTGGAAAGTGCAGGTTACCAGACTCAGCACTTCACCAGACTGTAGAAATAAATAAAGTCTGACCTTGAGGAAAGAAGCCCAGTGTGGTCAGCAGGAGGATCAGAGTGGTCATCATTGTGCTGTGAGGGGCTCTGAAAGGACTGAAGTCTCCAGTGATGAACTCACCGCTCTTAAAGAGTGTGGAGCTGTGAGCATGCAAAACCTCTCTTCTACTGACTGACCTTACTGTCCTTCCTCTGCTCTCACCCAGAGACTCCTTCATATCCACACACATTTAGTCCATTATAGAAACCTACAGATTTTACTGACCTTTAAAATGGATCAAACCTGTTTTCTCAAAAGTGCTGCAGCAAAGGACTTTAAGGTTTTTGTACAGACACTCAGTGAGTTTCTATCACTGTGGTGGATTTTTGGTGGAGGAACTAAACTCTCTGCTGGACGTGAGTCATTTTTTTATTCCTTTTGTAATAAAGAGTTTAGTTCAGGATCCTAAAATAAATATATAAATATGGATAAAAATATTAAAATTTGAAAATGTAATTTAGCTTTCTTTAATAAAATGCAATTAAAAATTACCTTGTATGTTTATATCAGTCTTTCAGTATATCCACTTTATTTTAATTAGAATGCTGTAAGTCAATTTTCTATAAAATTATTTTTTCATACAAATCATGATTTAATTTTAAATAATTTAAATGCAGATATGTTGGGTGCCAGAATATTGTTTTAGAATATTCTTTTAAATAAGTGACTTTTTGCATATTCATATTGTTGTAAAAATATTCTCTAAATATTTTCAGTTTTAATATTATAATTACTCATTTTGTAGTTTTTACAATATAAAAAGTGACACAGGGCAGCAGTTGATTTGATGTGTTTAAGATTTGATTTGAGGTAAAATATCACTTAATCTAAACTTAAATTTTGCTTTGCACAGTTCTGCAGTTTTCAATTTTTTTATTTTTAAAAACACAGTTAATCTGTTGCCACATTAAGTCATTTTTTAGGTTGAATTTAGAAAAGCGTTTATTACAGTGTAGTTATTCAATACAGTCTGTAATTATTGTACTTGTTACTGTAATTAATGGTATTTTTGCTTCACTCTGTTCTTTATAAACACAACATCTGTTAACTAGAAGTTAAACATGGTTAGATGGTGATTACATTATTATTAAATTATTAGAATAGTATTAACCCCAGTGTTTATTGTAAACAGTGAAATTAGTTTTAACGAGCTGCTGCTTTTCTAACCGAACTGTTCTGTTTATGAACATAAAGTCTGGTAAAGGAAGTGAAAGTTCTTCAGAACGACTAACAGAACCGAATATGACCATTTCAGAGAACAGGAACTTCTGCATTTTTCCACAACAGTTACACTGATATTAATGTTCAAAACATTCAGAACTAAAAACTATTTGGAGCTCAGTGTTGAAATTCTGCAGGACAGCATGAATTAAAGCTTTTACTCCAAACTTTTCATGGAAATCCATGATATGACTTGCTGGACAGTGATCTTCTGTTATTCACCTCTCTCTCTCTCTCTGGTGTGTCCAGGTGTCACTCGGCCCTCCCTCTCTCTGCTGCCCCCCTCCAGTGAGGAGCTCCAGCGGGGGAAGGCTACACTGCTGTGTTTGGTCAGTAAGGGCTTTCCCTCAGACTGGACACTGAGCTGGAAGGTGGACGGTAGCAGGTGGAGCTCAGGTGTGGTGGTCAGCCCCGGCGTGCTGCAGCAGGGAAACGGCCTGTACAGCTGGAGCAGCACGCTGACCCTCACTGAGGACCAGTGGAGGAAGACGAGGGCAGTGAGCTGTGAGGTCAGTCACGGCTCCAGCACAGCAGTGTACCGAGAACTAACACACACACACACACACACACACACACACACACACACACACACACACACACTCTCTCTCCATCAGTCTGCAGTGTGTACGAGTGTTTCTGCTGACATCAGCTCCTACATCATCTTACAGCTCCATCTCAGATCTTCTCCTTCATCCTCAACTCCACTTCCATTCACTGCTTTAATCGTGTCTGCAAAATAAAACCTTTTACAAACTTCACTGTTTCAGTCTGATCTGGAATTATTTACACAATGTACACAGGACTGTCCACAAGGGGGCATTAACCAGCTACACTGACCCAGAATTAAGAATTAAATTGACAATTGACTTAAGATATATAATATACACAGAATTGTCCACAAGGGGTCATCAAACAAGTACCCTGACCTAGACGCAGAATTAAATTAACTTTAAATTAATTAAATTAGTTTAAATTAAATTAAGAATTTTATTGTTTCACAAGACAATAAACAACAAAACGACAGGGAGCAACGGAGCCAAACCAAAAATAAAGAGTAAAAGTGATCACAGGTACAATCGTCATCAGACAAAATTAAACAAAACCTGTGAGAAAGGGTCTTAAATGAATATAATTAGGTGATGAAGAGTGAAGTGAGTGACGCTGAAAGCAGCTCAAACAAAGGCTGAGATAAAGTGAAATAAAAGATAATCACAAAACAAAAGACACTTCCTCTGTGATTCTGAGAGGAAGATCAGCTTTATGTTTCACCTGTTTGCTCTTCGTGGAACAAATACTTTTTGTATGGTTTGGAGCCGTTTCTTCATTAAGCCTTGTTTTTGGCTTTTAAGTAGTTTTGGGGATTTTTTTTTTTTTGCCCCCTTTTTCTTCTTTCTGTTGTGTTGGGACAACTTCTCTTTTTTCTTTTCATTTATTTTTCCCAGTCCTCATTTCTTTTCTTTTTGTTTAAATACCCACCTGCGCAAAGCACCGTACTGGTCACCCCTCTATAAAGATGTGACAAAGTGCTGCTGTTTGCCATGGCCTTAAGTAGAGGAGTCCACAGGTGTGCCAGGTTGGGCCTAATCGGCCTGAGGGCTTCTGGGAATTGGAGTTCCCTGAACTTGTGGTGCCTCGCCGCCGTCGCCCTCTGCTGGCGGCTGGCAGCACAGGCTGGACACTTACAACTTTTGCAGGGCCAGGTGTGATCTCGTAACGACAAACATGCAAATTTTTGGGCTAAATGTAGACGTTGCTGTGGGGAGACTCTGAGTGAAATTTCTAAACTCTATTTTATAGCACATTATACTTTAGAATATACCACTTGTGATAAAAGTTAACAGTACATTAGCAGCAACTTTATGTGGCCTCTGCTATTCACAGTTACAATGATACAGCCAGAATAAATGTGATATGAATGAATGAGCAGCTATGTTTGGGAAAAGATGAGCTACTAGAATTGAATTCTAACTAAACAGGTTAGAGGAACAAGGAACCCTTGTTACCGCAATCCAGCAGGTTGTCCCCAGAGGTGTGTTCTCTTCACAAGATCATGTCTAGCCCTGCAAGGTAAGATGAAGCCTAGAAAATAGGCCTATGGCAATTTCACAGTTGTCCATCATCTGCTTGTTAAAAAAATACACTAATGCACATGATGATACACAGGGCAGCTTGATGAAGCCCTATTCTTGGCAAGAAGTCCTTAGATAATTGACAGTATCTATGGACCAGGACTTAAGGATGTTCTTAAGGGGTGCCACTGCAGTAAAATGAATGTGGTTGATGTGGCCCAACAGAAAATGAGTTCATGAGGGAGGCATTTGAGCTTAGCCTGCAGTAGAGAGGCCTAAAAAGATGTGGTGTTCAGAAGGATGGCGTCAGGTGTTCAGGGAGGGACGTAGCATCCAAAGTGGTGGAACATCCAGGGGAAGGGACAAAGTGCGACAGGAGGTTGGAGGTGCATTTCATGGTAATGATGCAAATATTGTGTTCAAGAGTAGAGATACGAGTTTAGTGCACAGGGGTGGATGACATTAGGATAAATAAACAGAGCACTTTGCTTACAGAAAAAATGTTTGAACATAGTCAGTGTTTATGGAAACAATGAAGAAATCCAGTGAAGTAGAGGGGCCAGTCTCCTGCTGGACTAGGGGCTAAGAGGATTGAGAAAGAAGCAGCAATGAAGGCATAAAGAGGCAGAGTGAGTTGACACAAAGTGCTAAATGACTAATGAGATTGCAACTTCGAATAGAAAACAGGTACTCCAGTAAGAGTGATCTAGCAGCTCCAATCAGGCAGGGAGTGATGCAAACCGGGTGAAGCAAAAGAAGTGTAGTGCACAGAGGTGAGATTCAAGTTCATGTTTGAATGGTGTGGGCAAGAGGAATGACTGGAGCACGAGGGTGGTAGTGTATGGGGGAGAGGTGTGATGGTGATGGAGCCAACAGTAGAGTGGAGAGTCCACATCTTGGGGGACAAGCCAGAAGGGACTGAAAGATACATGAAAAGTTGGGTGTTGGCAGGTAGAACAACCAGGAGGCAGTGGAGAGGGTGAAGACTGAGTTTATAGTGAGAGGATCTCACTCAATAGGCAGCTGAGGAACCTCAAGTCCTGGAATAGGGTTGAAAGATGATACAGAGATGGACTGGGCTTGACATGAAAAGAAAATTATACTGTGGTCCAGTGTCAATCTTGTCCACAATAAAATACAATACGAATCTGTGTCTGTATTCAAATTAGTAAATCACCACAACTGCAATTTTACTGAATGCTTTTATCCTGGCATGGGTTGTTTTGATGACAGTAAAGCTGAATATAGCACATTCCTTTAAACCAGTAACTCATTCAACCAGATCAAGCTAGCAACTTGCATAGGATTAGAGCATGTAGCCAATAATCTGACATGTCAATTCACTGTACAAACAGAAGTGTGAGGGCATGGAAGACTGCTTTTCCCACTTAATCAAAGTGATGAACTGGTAGAAAAGGGTAAAGACGTGAAAATCTGGAGATGGATCTGATTGAGGCAGCACCAGTCAGAGTAGCAGAGCAGTGAGAACAACCCACAGTGTGGATGTCAGGGGGACTGATTCAGCAGAAGGTGCAGGCAGATGGTTGAGGAGAGTTCCGAGTTCTGAGTGATGATGTCGAGTTTTACAGTGAGAGGAAAACGAAGAAGAGCCGAGTGGAACGTAACATGGGCGGTACTGGTACCTCGTAGCTGGAGCAAAAACTTTGTCATAGGAAACTAAAGACTGCGGTGAATATTTTTAGAATGTTAGATGGGAAATGTAAGGTGCTTCAGGCACAGTTCTCTTCTCAACTCGATTTTGTTTCAGGGGATTTGATGGAACAACCCTGAACATAAATAAAAGAGATTTGTTTCCATTTGAATAAAGTTTCAGTAAATAAAAGTCAAACTGATCTCAGATGGACAATTACTGAACATTTCTTAAAATCATTTACAAAAAATTTACTGTAAGATTGAAGTTGCAGAAGCTCCACAGTGCTGCTCTGACCTTCATCAGCCGTTCTGCTCATGCAAATCTGAGTTTCACATCTCAAACACACCCAAACCCCCTAAGACTGAGACAGCTGTGTAAGTTTGGGGGGGATATTTCCATCACAATAAGATTATCATCAGGTTATCGATCACTGAAGAAGGCATCATTACGGATCCTGGAGTGACATCCCACACATTCTTCAGATACAATATCACTGCTGTAGCTTTACAATCAAACCATGGAAATAGACACCAGGGTTCTACCACAGTAATACTGTAACATTTGGTTTTCTCTGCACACTTCCTAGTTCTGGAAGTGTGCAGATCAAGCAGAATGAGTAATGCCAGTGTTCTTTATTCTTTATGTGTAGAACTGATCCAGCAGCTCTTGATGCAGGGTGAATGGCTTTAGCTGCTGGAAACCCAGCAGAGCTCATCCACTGCTGAGCTTTGTTTGTGACGGAGTGAATGTTTCATATCAAGTCCCTGGTGCCTGTTGTTCCCAGGAATTTGAAGAACTCTACTGCCCACACAGTCTTGTTGAGGATGGTGGGGGCTGTCAGGGATGCTGGGCTTCACCTGAAGTCCACAGTCCTCTCCTCTGTTGTGAGCATTCTCAGCTCAAAGTTCTTGTAACTGCTCCAGAGGACCAACCAACAACTCATCTGTAAGCAGACTCATCACTGTCTCTGATGAGTTCAATGACTGCTGTCATTAGTACACTGTGAAGAGCAGTGGGGAGAGTAGACATCCTTGAGGAGCCAATACTGATTGTTTGAGTGATTGATAAGAATTTTCCCAGCCTCACCTGCTGCTTTCCACCTGTGAGGAAGCTGCTGCTGCACTAGCAGGTGGAGGCAGGTTCAAAGAGTTTGAGGGCAATTCAAGCAAAATAGTACTTACTCAAACAAGTGACAATGAACAGTTGAATACACACCATATGGACAAAAGTATTGGGACACCTACAGATTACACCTACAAGAGCCTTTTTGAATCCCATTCTAAATCCATAGGCATTAATATGGAGTTGGTCCCCCTTTGCAGCTCTAACAGCTTCCACTCTTCTGGGAAGCTTCTACAAGATGTTGGAGTGTCTGTGGGAATTTTTGCCCATTCATCCAGAAGAGCATCTGTGAGGTCAGACACTGATGTTGGACGAGAGGGCCTGGCTTACAATCTCCGTTCTAGTTCAGCCCAAAGGTGTTTGATAGGGTTGAGGTCAGTGCTCTGAGAGGGCCAGTCAAGTTCTTCCACACCAAACTCACCCAGTCAGGCCTTTATGGAGCTGCTTTGTGCACTGGGGCTCAGTCAGGCTGGAACAGAAATGGTTCTTCCCCAAACTGTTCCCACAAAGTTGGAAATGCACAACTGTCCAAAATGTCTTAATATGCTGAAGCATTAAGATTTCCCTTCACTGGAACTAAGGGTTCTAGACCAACCCCTGAAAAACAGGCCCATAGCATCATCCCTCCTCCACCAAACTCTACAGCTGGCACAGTGCAGTCAGGCAGGTAATGTTCTCCTGGCATTCGCCAAACCCAGACTCGTCCATCAGACTGACAGATAGAGAAGCTGATTCGTCACTCCACAGAATACGTTTCCACTGCTCCAGCGTCCAGTGGCGGCGCTTTACTCCAATCCATCCAACGCTTGTCACTGTGCTTGGTGATGTAAGGCTGCATGCAGCTGCTCAGCCATGGAAACCCAGCCATGAAGCTCCCGGTACAGTTCTTGTGCTGATGTTTATGCCAGAGGAGGTTTGAACTCTGCAGTTATTGATCAGCAGAGCGTTGGAGACTTTTATGCTCTGTGCTCCTCAGAACTCGGAGACCCGCTCTGTAACTTTACGTGTTCTGACTCTTCATGGCTGAGTTGCTGTGATTCCTAAACGCTTCCACTTTTCAATAATTCCACTCACAGTTGATTGTGGAAAATCTAGGAAGGAAAAAATTTCGCAAACTGAATTTTACAGCAGTGGTATCCTTTTACAGTACCATACTAGAATTCAGTGAGCTCTCAAGAACAATCCATTCTTTCACTATCGTTTGTAAAGGCAGGCTGCATGGTTGGGTCCTCGATTTTAAAAACCTGTGGCAATGAGACTGAATGAAACACCTGAATTCAATGAAGAGGTGTGTCCCAATACCTTTGTCCAGATTGTGTAGATCCATGTGGTACTACCAACACCTTCCTCAATCACTGCAACAAAGGCAACTCTTACTGTGCATAATGTACACATATACAAAAGAAACAGTAAATTCTACCAGTTCCACTGGGCAATGAAGATGTTTTCTACATATTTATATCCAGGCCAGTGTCAAACAAAGGTTTATCACCATATCTCTCAAACGTCTGTTATGATCTGTATTCAACCAAACTCAGCATGAATTCGTCAGTTCTAGAATCTGTAATCATACCTTGCACTCACACTAAACTCTAACATCAACAATCAACAATATATCAGATCGTTTTTGGGCAGATTCCTGAGTTTTAACATTAAACACTGAATCTTTCCTCTGTATGATCCCAGTACCTGCTTAATTTTCCCTATGGAACATAAACAACACTGAGAGGAACCAAGACTGTCAGGGTAGCCCTTTATATGAAAAACAAATGGAATAAGAATAAAACTTTTAAAATCCAGCAACTAATAACTATTTTAGTGTTAAGAACTATTTCAATCAAAAAAATATTTTTTATCCTAGAAAGACAAGTACTGATAACAGCTGGTGAACACAGCCCCTGTTAATTTTTATCCCATGTTTAACTTTATTTTTGTTCTTTTTCCTATTTAAAGAAGTGTATATTCCTGGTTAAACTATGATGGAGCTTTAGAGTTAACTGATTTCCTTTTCTGTTTGTTTGCTCAAGATATTTAAAGATTGTTTTGAAGATTACAGTGACCTAGTTAGATGGCTCTAAACAACACATTACACATTGAAGTAGAATCAAACAAAATATCATCTTCTGTCAAAATGTTGTGTAATGATAAAATCAAGTTCCAGAAAATATTACACCAGTAATGACCAGTCCTGGGTTTCCCAAAAGCATCTTGGCACTACGATGATCCTCAAATGGTAGAGCAAGCATCACACTGAACTCTCTCTCTACCAGTAATGATGATCTTAACTTTAAGATGCTTTTGGGAAACTGGGCCTGGGAAGATATTAGCATTCAGATCATTAATAGTTTCAATTACAAATCCCCACAACTATTTTTTAAGGAAGTGTCCAGGAAATCCATGCACCATTAATATCAAATGTTCCACTAATTCTGTGACGAAAAATTTAATAGGTTGGTAAATCAATAATAGATTTTTACAAAAACTGACACAATAACAACACCATGTTTTAGATTTTATTTGAACTGGCTGGTCAACAGAGAAGTGCAAAACATACAGAGAGCATTGAACAGGGTGAGAATGAAGAAAGGAGTCTCTCTCAATGTGAGTGAACTTATGCTCCTGTAAATAAGTCTACACTGACCTCTGGTGACAGAGAGGGAGAAATACAGAAAGGAAAATAAACCCTCAATCAGCCACGTTCATATTAGGACGTACAGACGAATGGCTAGCGATTAGTCAGAGGCTCTTTTAGAGGCCCATGTTATTCACATCTGCTCCAAAGCATTCTCTATATTACACAGTTTTTACAGCTGAAAAATAGATTAAGATCTATCACTATTATATTTCTCTACATAGTTCAATGTACTTTTTTTTTTGTCTCACGTTTTGTTTATTTCTTAGAAACTGCGTACCGATGAGTTAATGACAGTGTGTAAGGCAGAAAGGGGTGGGGTTACTACATGCATATAGTGTATGTACTGTTTATTACTGTTGTGTTGAGATGAATGTATGAAATGCATCAACAGCAGTAACTTCGCACCTTTAAAATACAATATAAATGCAGGCAATCTGTGAACCTGTTAAAGGAAATCAGTCATGAGGAATGATTTACTACCCGTCCTACAACCACCTTTAAATTAAACCTCTTATTTAAGAGCTAACTATACAGAGTTAACAGTAAAGGTAACCAAATAGTTAGTTGAACTCAATAACTACCGCGATAGTTACTATTAGCCACTTTTTTAGCAATATTACGAAGTATCTCGGAACCTTGCACGTCACATTTGTTTTGCTACTCTTTTCCAGTTCACATAATCAACATGAGAAGGATCCAAAGAGCAGGTTCTTAACAAGAACATGTTGAAAAGCACAGCAGTCTGCAGCTCCACATGCAAGTTCCCATCATCTTTGTCCCAGTGAGTCTTTTAAATGCATTTAAAGAGTCCAAAGTGAGTGACTCCAGGTTTCAGGTTCATTTCACTCCTTTGGGATTTAGTAGTGTTCATGTTGTGGCTTTGCTCATGAATGAACGTAGCGTTAACGCAAAGCTGTCTGTAGCACAGTAAGATGCTGGGCAGCACATGTAGTGTGGATTATTTTCTCTCGAGCTAAACGGCACGAAGCGAAGGGCATCAGAAACGGAGCAGCTTCGTCACGTTGTCGAGGCGCAACAAATGGAAGACATACAGCAAAAATTATTTCACAGGAACAGTTGTGGCAGTTCTCGTGGAACAAAGCAAGAGCAACTTTACAACAACCAAATAAAAAAAGCAAGAAATCAATAGTCATTACATCAACACCTTGCAAATGAGCCTACCATAGACAAGGAAAGGCCTGAGATGACTTAGAGACAAAACCATGCCATTTACGACCTGTTTCTCTTGGCACTTCTGGAGAGAACTAAGAGCAGTTTTTCTTAGCGAGGGGAAAGTATTCAAGTCCCAAACGCCCCCTGAGAGAACTTAAAGAAAGTGGGGAGTGTCAAAGTTAAAGCAGTGTCAGTTCTTACAGTTTGCACTCAAGGACAGGTTCGCAAGTTCCTCCGCGTTCAGAGTCATTGGCATGTTCACAGTGCATCAATCTTAAATGGATTTTTGAAGAAATAGTGTTAATATTCATAATAACGGTAACAGCAATAATTATCAATTCACATAGAGCCGTAAGTGTTAATCCAAACCTTATTTACTTGTGTTTTCTCAGTAACGGTACTGTGTTGTGCAGACCGTAGAGTTAAAATGTACATATTATGGGCTTCAACATCTTCAGGAAAAGAAAGAACTGGCCATTCCGGGTGTGGAATGCAACACTGAAGGTGGTTTCCTGCTACTGCCCCTCTCAGTCTCCAGTGGAGTGAAGTCCTGAAGCTGTGATGGAGTTTGAGTGAAATGGAATGTAGTCCAGCGAGGAGAGAGAGGGTGTTAATAAGGTGCAGGCTGTGTGTAGTTTAGTGTGAGATTGTCTGTGTATGAATGTGTAACTCTTGCCTCCCACACGGCACCATGTGACCGGTCACAGTGTTCACCTGCCCACCGGGGGGAGAGGAGGCGCCCCCCTCACCACTGGCAAAGAGAAAAGCAGAAGGTCAGTCAATACACTCAACATCCATCTGAACAGAGGTGGACCATTCTCAGCACAGCAGAGACATTCGTCAGGTTTCTGTCCAGCTGTCAAATCAAGTTCAAGCTAATCACTTTAAGACTGAGCATCTATAAGCTCTGCACAAGAGAATAAAACCAAATAATGCCAAACATGCTGTCCTTAATATACTTAAAAAAAACTCTGCATAGGTGATGAGGACCAATCACAGTCAGGGGGAGGTCTCAGAACAAACTAGGTGGCAATTAGGACCAGAACAAATGAGCTTTCAGAACAAACGAGGCACTGAGTCGAACCAATCACAGTCAGGGGAGGACCGCCCCTCATTGATTCAAACCTTCAGTGTTTCTGATAAATTGACCAATAAGTGTAGATACAAGGGAGAAGTTTTACTGACACATTTAGGGTGTTTTCATACTACAGCTTCGTTCCAGATCCAGGACCACCTGCTCAGTAAGTTCGGTATTTTTGTTCGAGTGTGAAAGCTGTTTTCGAGCCTGAGAGCAGTCCAGAGAACCGATCTCTGGTCCTCCTGAAATGGGTGGTCTGAGGGAGCTCTGGTGGGTCCACTGTACGCGTGGAAGCTATCCGGTCCCAGCACCATGTGTGGGGCTGTGTGATTGGCTCATTTTGTTATCTGACTGCTTCAATTTATTGCATCACTTCCCTTTTCGGCTGCGGTGATGGGGAGAGGACGGCTGCGGACAGAAGAGCTGATCTTCAACTTATCAGTGTTTTTATCCAAGGAAAATAATAAAAATCAAACGGGTGAAGCGGCCGACCATCCAGCAAACCTGCATGCAGAGCAGTGATGTATGGAATTGCGCAATCAATCCACAGTTTGGATGAAATTCTTGTGTGTAAATAAACTAGTGATGATAAGATCCTCCCCCAAACGAGCCCAGAATCGGTCCTGGGTGTGAACTCAAGTACTCGGGACAAGTGTGAAAACACCCTTACACAAACTAACACATGATAGTGTGATTATCAGATATCAAAATACAGACATATAAACAGAACCGCACTGTTTCGTTACCTCTGTTGGCTTTGCTGGGATAGATTTTAGTGAAGTGTCTGTACTCCTCTGGAGGGGGGAAGTCATCCAGCGGATGGAAAGAATACTTGGATTCAAAGTCATCTGGATTAAAGCAAAGAAAGGAAGAAAAGACAAAGAGAGACAGAACAACCTCAGAAATCAGAGCAAAACAGATTCAAACATTCCTACGTGATGTTTTGTCACTGTGTCAGTTCTGGTATAGACTTTTATATATGTTCATTAATATATGGCAGTTACATTTTCATTTGTGAAGGAATCATTATAAATATTCTCTATTTTGGTCACATTACACACAATTGTTATGAGACAAACAATACATTTCAGTCCATGGGCTCAAACATGAACAGGGAGAATGTTTCCAGAGTTAATGGTACAGTAAAGCAGATTAGGGACGTTCTGATCTGATTTAAAATATCAGTACTGGAGGATATTGTGGAGTACTTTAAGGCATCAGTATCAGCTCTAGTAGATCTAATCCTGTTATAATTCTTTGTTAATGCTATTTAACCCTAATGTGATCTATTTACTGTCATGGAGGTGCTGTAAACATCCACTATCCACAACCTGTAGCAGTGAGGAGCCTTTCCAGAAGATAGAAAAGGTTTAAGAGTCTGTAGAATTTATTTTAAAGTACAAAATCATTAAAAAAAAAACTAAATATCAACCTAAAGTTTTTTTTTTCATTTTTTTTTTATTAAGGAAGAGCATATCTTAACCTAAACTGATTTGGTTTTATCTTAAACTGTTTACTTTAACGTACTTATTATTACATTTTTAATCATTGAATTATGCACTGAAGGGCTAAGAGAAGACAAATGTAAGACTCAGCTTAGGTAGATATTTAATATTAAAGCCTCTGTTGCATCTCCTGTCCTTTGTGACGTGATGCAATACTACATTTGAATGTTCGCTCTCTGGGACACGATGTAACTGTATAACTGCGCAGTAACAAATATCTGGTTGAGTCATTGACTTGAAAATTATTGTTCAATTAAATGTAGCTCTGTCGTTGATTGTTTTTGTCTGAACACAGTGTTTTGTGAAAATTCCCTCCAGTACAGTGATGACATATTTATTGGCCAGCGTTAAATGGCTGCTGTCAGAGGTGAAGAGCTGGTGTCCAGGTGAGTGGAGGAGGGGCTGATGCAGATGGAGGTGAGTGTGAGGAGCACTCACCTACGAAGGAGCGGGGGTTGGAGGTGTGTCCGTTGCGGATGGGCGGGGGTGGGGGGGGGGGTCCGGCGGGGGTGCGGGATGGGGGTGGGGGGGGCTTGCCTCGGCTGGGCGGATCTGAAGAGCTACCGTGAGTCCGATAGGGGGGTGGCGGTGGAGGGGCATCCCGACCGTTCCGAGACGTCTGCCCGGGTACCGGAGGAGCTAAAACACCAACACAAAGAAGAATTAACGTTAAAAATAAGTGCTCTAATAACAAATAGACTTAATATACAAAATGTAACTGGGAATAAACAGTAAATCAAAACATGAATCAATCATCCACACTTTCTACAACAGAGAGAAGCTTCAGGAAACAAACAACAGATCAGGAATTCTGCAGCACCTGCAGCTTTCATCTCGGTAACCAGACTTATCGTCAGAGAGTCTGGTAGGTTTCATCGCTCAGTGTGATCAAGAGCTGCCTGCAGGAAGCACCCATTTAACTGACATGCAAACCAATCAAACACAGACATCATACTGGAAACCTGGTTTTGCTCAATGCTAATCGGTGGCTTCCATTACTGTTCGCAAACCTAAAATATCACTGTGCTGTGATGGGGGGAGAAGAAGGACCACCCAACCCACTGTGCTCTCTTGGACTCCAGGTCATGGTTGGCATGTAAACAGCTGAACTACTGAGGGATCTTATCGCTTTAATGAAGTGAGGCTCACCTGCGGCCCGTCCCGGAGGGTCCCGTGCTGGGGGCGGGGGTCTCCCAGCCTGCGGTGTGGGGGAGGGTGGAGGGGGTGGGGCATGGGCTCTGGTAGGGGTGTGGCTCCCTGGGGCGGGCTTCTTGCTGAGGGAGTTGTGTCGCTGGGGGAGTTCGGGGGCCGCCTCGTTAACTGGGCTGGAGGGGCCGTTGGTGACGGAGATCTGCTGGCGGTAGGGGGGTGGAGGGGGCGGGGCCAGGGATGAAGAGGAGGAGGAGGAGGAAGAGGAGCGGTTGCTGACGGGTGAGGGGGGCGGTTTGACGGGGGGAGGAGGGGGCGGCCCTGGGGCAGGTGACGGACCCCTCTGACCAGGGGTCGGGGGGAGGGGCTTCTCGCGGTTGTACGGCGCCCCGGTGGCTTTCTGGGGAGGGGCTGGTGGGGCGTTGCCCCGGCGAGACATGGGCGGGGGTGGGGGCGGGGCTGAGGTGCTGTGCTTCATGCCGGGGGAGGGGCTGCTGGTGGCACTGGGGGGGCGAGACAGGTCCGGCAGAGACGGGCGCTGAGAACGACCCGACTCCGGCGGAGACGCCTGCTGCTGGACTTCAGTCTCATCAGCACGGCAGGGCGGGCGGGGGGCCGCAGGGCGGGAGGAGGGGGGCTGCATGGCAGACCGGCCTACGGAACCGTCTAGAACACAGAACATCCGTGTTAGCAAAGAGAACACGTAAACATGAGCTTATCAAATATTAGCTTAACATTTCAAATTAATCTTGACCTTCAATTATTAGTCAATCTGCTGTATGTTCAGTTCACATTACTGTTAAGACACGACTGGGTTAATGACATGCATTTAAATATTCAGGCTGCTTTCCTACAGAAAACATTTTAAATATGTATTACAAATGACTCGTTATTCTACAATACCTCCTTTCTGTGAACACATTTTAACTGCATCAAAATAAAACTCATTTTAGCCATTTTAGTCATTTTATTAAGTCTCCCAAAAAAAGTCTTGTAATGTTAGGTGGTGCAACTGACCAACCATATATATATATACACAAGTAGTAAAGTGTTAAAAGGAGTAATTGTCATACAACCCTCAATAAAATAACTTTCGTTCTATGTTCAAAATCTTAACATGTTGGTCAGCATTAAAAACATTCAACTCATTGGGAAAATGTAAATTCTGAATTCTTTAAATCTCACACAGTGCAAAGGACTTTTATTATGCCTTTAAGAAAAAGTGGACAGGGAACTACACCATAAAGAAGACCTCAAAGTGATCTTCACAGTACACCGCCAAGGTCAGTAACATCTTCACAAATAGTGGAAAAATAATATGATTCATAGTCAAGTTTAGGTCAGCTGGTGTGAGCGCTGTTTAACCAACTGTTTAATACATGTGTGCAAATACAAAGACTAGTTTATATACATTTTCGGTACCTGTAATATATATTTTATTAATAGGTGGTTGCACCACCTAACATTTTCTGGATAGTAGATTACAAAATGGTATAACAATGAAAATTACTATCAGTATATCAATTGCACATAATATCCTTATTAATTAGAACTTTTTAAATGATTCTTCTGCCTTAGTCGTCATTAACCCAATAACAGACCTAACAATGCATTTTAAGTTATGTAAAAAAATTCCATATAAATAAGTGGTGTGTTTAAAGTAGGGATGCATCGATACCGATACTGTGCTCATTTACTCGTCATTATGAAAAATTCACTGATACCAAAATTCCGATACCAGCATATAAGGAGGATCTGCTCACACAGAGACGAGTTACTGACTCCGTCACAGTCGGACACAGGCGGTCACTTTAAACATTCCGCCTTGGTAGATTCCCACCAGGATACACTGTGAGATTTTAGACCATATATAAACACACAATCACAACCGCTTCACCAACACACAGACACATAGGCCAACAAAACGGAGGAGAAAAAGTCTACATTTCCTACCCAAGTCTGTAGATGTGACTTTATTCTGTTTAACTGAATAGAATGGGGAGATATAACCGTTAATACAGTGATTTTTCTGTAAATCAGGCCGTAGAGAGACCGAACTGTCCTACCGTGAACATCACGGCCTGCTTTAGCTTCAGTGCTCGTGTTATACTGAGTGAATCAGCTTTATTGATAACGGTCTGTAGTCAGAGCGTCTGTAGAGGCTGCGTTTCCCGTAGCAGGTCAGTCAGACGGAGCGTTTCGTACAGTGTGAGTTTATAAATCGTAACTTTGTCTGAACACAATGTTCTATTTAAACAGACAGTGAGAGTCACCAAAGAACAAGATTTCTAAAATCACAGTGTCTGTCTGGCTTTAGAGGACATTCAGCTACAGCTCAACCAGCCAATCAAACGACTCCAACAAGACGGAAAACTGGAAGCGTGAGCTCCTCGGATGCGTCAGCCTCGGATGTAATTCCTGCTGTCGCTGTGCTGCTGGTGAAAGAGACTGATGGGGATCAAAAATATGAAAGCTACTTTCCTCACAGCTGTACAGAAGAGCTTTTCTGACAGGGAACTAAACCTCCACTGCAGCGCTGCTCAATCAGAGATCACTAGATAACGACCTTCATAAACATCAGATAGATTTAATGATTTAACTGTTCATTACACTCATTTACACTAACAGATTCTTCATTCTAAGTAGGTACTCAGTGTGGTATCAGACTTGGTTTCAGGTTTCTTGGTTTTCATGCTTGGTCTGAAACAAATGTTATTAATTCATCACTAGTTTAAAGTGCGGAATCTAAACTGTTTTTTTATTATGATTTGAATTTGATGAAGTTTTCAGTCTTGTTTGCAGGAAGAAAAAACTCAATTTTTTGCTGTTTTTATCATTTTTTTGATGCTGAAACAAGTCAGAAGGGCAGGCACAAACCAGTCCATTTAACATACATTTAACTTAGTTAACTAACCATGTGATTAAGAACATATTACTTTATTTCTCTTTATTTTTAACCCCTTGTGGTTTACAAAGTAAGTGTTACACATTAAAAGGTGTACCTCCTACAGGCCGCAGTTTAGGCACACCGCCTTGAAACAAGCCACCCATTGGCTGAGCTCCTGACGTCACGCCTCCACTGCTGGCTCCACCTCCACTGCTAGCTCCGCCCCCACTGCTGGCTCCACCCCCACCGACTCCTTTGGGCTCTATGAAAGAACAGAAGAACCATCGCTGGGCTTTAAAGCTTCTGAGCGCATTTCCTGCACATTAATGCACTGCAATGGATATATTAGCCATTAGAGGGCGCTGTGGGCAGCTGCTGACTAGTCTAGGGCTGGATTTCACTCTGATATTGACACCTTGACTTCTATACTGAATTTCAGAAGTACTGATGTTAATAACATGCATACAAGATGTAAAACAGCCAATCAGCAGTCTAGATTTTGGAGCGAGTGTGTAGCTCACTGACTTAATCATGTGTTACGACCCTTAGGATGGATATGGATGCTTTTTCTGCCTTGCCCTCTTATCTGTCTTTGTCTGGTTCCACTTATCCATTTACTAGGACCAGAGCTTGGAGACTTCTGATTGGCTCCAGCAGGGGGCGCTCCAGCTATAAAGGGCCTGGGTAAGCAAGGTGGTGGTTGGCTTCTTCGGTTGTTGTGTCTGTGTGATCTGCTCTCCCACTGACCAGATCAAACCCAGGACTTTGGTTCAGCTTGTTCTGTTCAGCTCTTCATGTTTCTTGAAACCGTTTTCTCCTGGTTTGGTTCAAAGTGGCTGTTTGTATCTTTCTTGTCATCCTAGCTAAGTTAGTTTGGTTCTGCTTCTAGCTTGTTTTGGGCGTTAGCTCTCCCCTTAATCCATTTATCTCCTTTTACTATCTCTTACTATATTGTATGTAGTAGACGGCTAATATAAACGACTTTATCTCTTCTCTGCTATCTTACTATGCTGCCTATAAACGGCAATTCAAGTCTGATTAACGAGAGGAATTAATGTTGATATACTGCTATCCTATCTGGGTCCATGGTGCTTTGGTCTGGCGGACGGGTTGGTGTTGGGCCTTTTTATTCATATATGACCTCTCTCAAAAGATCCCCGAGAGCTGTGAGGTCGTAACATTTGGGAGCTCGTCCATTCCTGATTTCGTCTGGTGCGTGTCAGTGTTTTGGTCATTTGCTGGCAGTTTTGTTTTGGTGGGGGAGGTGTGTAAGTAAGTAGTTTTGGATGGTCTTTAGTTTTCTTTTAAAATTTTGAATTTGATCTTTGGTGGTTTTATTGCCCTCCCTTTGTTACAGAAGCTGAAATTGGTGGCGTCACAGATTTGCTGTTTTTCTAACTTTGTATTAAGGAGCTCTTTTTCAGAAATTCATTCGAGAGTGAGTCCTGCTTGCAGACCCGGATGTGGAAGAAACCAGTAGTATCCAACAGCTGACCCGCAGTACTGCACGTTCAGACCCTCACTTTCAGCTCCTTACAAGTGCGCCTCCAGTGGTTTCTTTTAGAATTGCAGTCACACTTTCCTGCCCTTTCAAGAGAATTTCAGCGTGACTTTTTTTTTTTTATACAGTACATCGTAATGCTGCTTTCAAGTGCAACTGAGGCGATAGTTGTGTACGAGGAGGAACTCGTTAACCTGTCATGCACGTTTAAGTGTTTTTGTCGTGCATGTTTTTTTTTGTGACAGATAAAGAGATACTGAAGTTGTGAAATGGGTGTTTATTAGCTTTCTGGTATATATCAGTTTTGGCCTATTTTACTGGTGTTTTGAATTCAAACACTCTTAAAAAGGATGGATGAAGATGGAGGAAGGGTTTTTTAGTAAAGGGAATGATTCTATTTAGAGTTCATTCTTTTTCTTTCATAAATAAGTTCTACCATTTCATGCTTAAATAGCTCTTGGTGAAATGGTTCTTCAGATTGATATCTGAGGGTTTCTTAAACATTACGCAGTAATATCAGAGCTGGTTTTCTGGTACTGGGCATCTGTACGTACTTCTCCCGCGCTGTCCATGTTACAAATAGCCTGGTGCATAGACCCTATTCCTTCTCCTGTGGGGGGCCTTTGAAGGCAGTGGGCTTATGTCTGGCTAAAAGCTTTTAAGTGAGACCTTTGGCTTGGCTGTACGGCAGCAGAAGCCCAAAAACCAGCTGTTGCGCAATCGCGCCCTGGAGTTGCTCTTGGCGTAAGAATTTGAGTGTTCGTGCTGCTATGCCTGCTTTGTTATCGGTCAAATAGCTGACCCATCTATCAGCAGAGGTTCTCCTTCTGAGCGGCATGTTGCTCTTTTGTCAGTCGTTTATTTTATGAGTGAAGATATTTAGTGGTTGAGGAAAAATCAGTGATACTGAAGCTGTTTTGTAACCTAGTATCTGTGATTTGACACGAGGAGCAGCCTAATCTTTGCTACTCGCTGATGCTTTACCTTTCTGTGGTATCAGTTATTGTGGAGTGCATGTAATAATTCAGAGGGTTCAGGAGGTCACAGTCTTTTTCTAATCTGATTTGGTTTCTGGATTCATGAAAGTGGGCCACTGTTCTGAAATGCCAGTACTTGGAATTTCATTTTCCTCCTTTGCTAGCTTCAAGTCTGATTAGTAAAAGGAATAAATGTTGATATACTGCCATCTTATCTGGGTTCACGGTGTTTTGGTCTGGAGGTTGGGTTGGCGTTTGGCCTTTTTATTCATGTACAACCTATCTTAAGATCCCCTAGACCTGTGAGGTCATAACACATGACCCATTGTAACTTCTAACTACTAACATAACATCAAACGTTCCCTCACTGAACAAACCATCTCCTCAGTGTAGGTTCAGTTCTAGAGTTTATGGTAACTGCAGTCCATCAGGTAAAACAAACAGTAATGAACAAATCCAGATGTTTGTAAACAACAGGGCTCGTATTGTACAAACGTCCGAGAAGCTGTTTAATTTGGGGCTGTAATGTCAGACAGCAACAATTTGAGATTTAACAGTTTGCCTGCTGAAAAAACTGTGTCTCTGGATTCAGGAGTTGAAGCGCCCCCTGCTGGTCCTGCCATTACTATCTTTAGCTTGTTTTAATGATAATAATTGAAATAAAAGCAACAATAATAAATAATATAAATGATAACACTTTTAATTACACGTCATACCTTAAATAACAGCTTAGATAAACTATTATGTTACACATTTTGATATTCATAATTTCAGCCGTTGTACGTGCGCTCCCGCTGGTGTGGGTTTCCTCAGATGTGTAGAAAAACACTACTTAAGTGCTGAAAGCGCCTCCTTATTGGGAATCTGAATTATTCATTAAAACACGACATTAAATTTACATGTTGCTTCTTTTTTATCACACTAAAATGACAAATTGTTACATTTAAAATGTGTGTCTGTGTGTGTGTGTAGTTTATTTTGTGCTACAACACTTGCGGTTCTTACAGCACCAGCAGTAAACGCTCAACATGTTTACGTCCAGCCCTGGAGTCAACAGTCGACTAGTGTAACTGAACAGCTGTGTGATGTACAGTGACTCTGGGCTCTTACTCTCGATGAGGGGGGCGCTCCGGTCATTCACCACGGGCACCTTCTTCAACCTGGTCCCATTACAGATATCAGACAGTAAGGCTCCTCGGCCCTTCGCTTCGTCTCGAGACAGCTTGGGTGGGGTAGTGTTCGCCTATATATGTTTTTAAAAATAAAACAAAATAAAATAATTTAAAAGATAACAAAATTTCATAGTTTCTGTAGTTTACCAATAGCATTATTCTTGTTATTACTATTAATTTTTATACTACTGTGTAAGTCTTCTGATTAAATGAGCTGCAGTGCAGTTGATCTGAGCTGTAAACATGTATTTGTTGAAAAACAGAATACAAATAAATAAACAATCCATTGTGACTGCTGTGTGTTAGTTTTATCATTTCCTGCTCTCTCCTGGATGAAGTCCAGTATTTACAGTTGCCATCCAACACCTGCTTTATCTAATCAGTACTTCATTAAATTATATCATGTGATGTCTGTAGAGCAGCAAGAGGTCAGAAACCAAACCTGTGGTGTTCTCTGTTCTTCTAACGTACATACTGATAACTGTACTGAGCACAACACATTCTGACTGCTGAATACTGTACTTATGATCTTCTGTGTTTATACTGCAGCTGTCGAACGAGTAAAATAATCACTCGTTCAAATACAGCTTTTAAACATCTTTTAAAGCAAACCCTTAAGCACCTTTAGTGGACCACGCTGGACAGACACTCCCCGGAGAACTACGGATAAAATCAACCAGCAGCGGACGGGGCAAAGGGTCAAACTAGGAGCCTTCTACCCTGTTCTTCAGTGATCAGGACCCCCACGGACCCTCACAGAGCAGGTACTATTTGGGTGGTGGATCATTCTCAGCACTGCAGTGACACTGACGTGGTGGTGGTGTGTTAGTGTGTGTTGTGCTGGTCTGAGTGGATCAGACACAGCAGTGCTGCTGGAGTTTTAAACACCTCAGTGTCACTGCTGGACTGAGAATAGTCCACCAACCAAAAATATCCAGCCAACAGCGTCCTGTGGGCAGCGTCCTGTGACCACTGATGAAGGACTAGAGGATGACCAACACAAACTGTGCAGCAGCAGATGAGCTATCGTCTCTGACTTTACATCTACAAGGTGGACTGACAAGGTAGGAGTGTCTAATAGAGTGGACAGTGAGTGGACGCAGTGTTTAAAAACTCCAGCAGCACGGCTGTGTCTGATCCACTCACACCAGCACAACACACACTAATACACCACCACCACGTCAGTGTTACTGCAGTGCTGAGAATGATCCACCACCCAAATAGTACCTGCTCTGTGAGGGTCCATGGGGGTCCTGACCACTGAAGAACAGGGTAAAAGGGGGCTAACAAAGTATCAGAGAAACAGATGGACTACAGTCTGTAACTGTAGAACTACAAAGTGCACCTATATAGTAAGTGGAGCTGATAAAATGGACAATGAGCGTAGAAACAAGGCAGTGGTCAGAATGTTATGCCTGACTGGTGCATGTCATAAATTATATCTTTTTAAGTGTGACCTACTGCAGCTCTAAGGGCCTGAACTGCACACTGCAGCAAGAATACACAGCAAAAATAGACATGTAGGGTATCTGTGTGTTTTGTGTACAAGTTACTGCCACAGCCTTGCAAAAGGCCACAGTGATTAACACAGGAGTGTATTGCTTGTGGCACAATAACCAGGTCTGGTGTACGGAGCGCTTTCTTTATCATGATAAAGACGAGGTTTGATTTTTTTTATTTCCAATCTTAACTATGATGACAGTTTGTGTTCAGATTGTTCAGTCCAGTCTGTATTACAGTCCTATATTTAAACAGGGGGACTCTTATTAGGTTCTCCAGAGGAAAAGCCGATTGAGATTTTGCCCTATCGCCAGGAGGTCGCTGGTTCGAATCATGGCAATGTCTAAATAAATACATAAATAAATGAATAAATAAATAAATACATAAATAAATAAATAACAATAAAAACACAAATCATCAATATAGTTCCATTCCATAGTATCGTCCAAACGATACGCCAGTCAGGTCCGAGTGCTCAAGGATGGAGAACCTGTGCAGTAGGTGAGCACTCACCTGGCTGAAGGTGGGGGGTGGAGGGGGTCCCCCTGGTGGTGGAGGGGGTGGGGGAGCGTTGGGCATCCTGACCGGCCTTCAGTGAGTGGAGCTGAGCTCAGAACACTCACTCAGATAAACATGGAAACAGACACCTTTAAAAAGAAAAGACAAAACAAATCAGTGTACAGAACATCTGTCTCTATCAGACACGTTACAGCACATCTGTCTCCCTATCAGACACGTTACAGCACATCTGTCTCCCTATCAGACACGTTACAGCACATCTGTCTCCCTATCGGACAATGTTACAGCACATCTGTCTCCTTACCTTTCACACCGTTACAGCACATCTGTCTCCCTATCGGACAATGTTACAGCACATCTGTCTCCTTACCTTACACACCGTTACAGTACATCTGTCTCCCTATCCAAAACAACATTACGGCACATGTGTCTCCCTATCAGGCACGTTACAGCACATCTGTCACCTTACACGTCGTTACAGCACATCTGTCTCCCTATCTGACAACGTTACAGCACATCTGTCTCCCTATCGGACACGTTACAGCACATCTGTCTCCCTATCAGACACGTTACAGCACATCTGTCTCCCTATCAGACACGTTACAGCACATCTGTCTCCCTATCAGACAACATTACAGCACATCTGTCTCCCTACTGGACACATTACAGTACATCTGTCTCCCTATCAGACAACATTACAGCACATCTGTCTCCCTACTGGACACATTACAGTACATCTGTCTCCCTATCCAAAACAACATTACGGCACATGTGTCTCCCTATCAGGCACGTTACAGCACATCTGTCACCTTACACGTCGTTACAGCACATCTGTCTCCCTATCAGACACGTTACAGCACATCTGTCTCCCTATCAGACAACATTACAGCACATCTGTCTCCCTACTGGACACATTACAGTACATCTGTCTCCCTATCAGACACGTTACAGCACATCTGTCTCCCTATAAGACACGTTACAGCACATCTGTCTCCCTATAAGACACGTTACAGCACATCTGTCACCTTACACATCGATACAGCACATCTGTCTCCCTATCTGACAACGTTACAGCACATCTGTCTCCCTATCTGACAACGTTACAGCACATCTGTCTCCCTATCTGACAACGTTACAGCACATGTGTCTCCCTATTGGACACATTACAGCACATCTGTCTTCCTATCAGACACATCACAGCACATCTGTCTCCCTATCAGGCACGTCACAGCACATCTGTCACCTTACACATCGTTACAGCACATCTGTCTCCCTATCTGACAACGTTACAGCACATCTGTCTCCCTACTGGACACATTACAGCACATCTGTCTTCCTATCAGACACGTCACAGCACATCTGTCACCTTACACAGCGTTACAGCACAACTGTCTCCCTATCACACACGTCACAGCACATCTGTCTCCTTATCCAACCCATTATGGCACATCTGTCTCCCTATCAGGCACGTCACAGCACATCTGTCTCCTTATCATTTTATCATTTGATTTTAATTAAAAATTTCAAATCAATTTAAACTTCATTATTAATAATAACTGAGGCGAGGACATGACTGCATGTAGTAGTTGGATGACTGTGTTTCACAAAAAGCACAGAAAACAAACAGACAATAAACAATAAATAAACGAGAGACACAGAGGTGTACGGGTGCACAGTGTGTATAAATGTGTGGAAAATATGCAAAATAAGTGTGACAGCATAAAGAGGCAGTGTTCAGTAAACAGGGTCTGAACGTTCAGGCGTTCAGTCCAAGTGAACAGTCAGTCAGCAGTGCGTTCAGAATAACATTAAAGTCCAGTGTGTGGACAGATGGAGTTTGTGTTTGTGTTCATGACCTGTGTTTGTGGTGCCGTCAGCGTGACAGTTGAACAGCTCGAGGGTAGAACCTGTTCTTGAACCAGGTGGTTCTGGCTCGGATGTTCTGATGCAGATCATTTCATGTGTTATTTTATATCTGTATGTTTTCTCTGTTTTATTTAAAACCCTGTTGACGCAGAGACCCAGAGAAACTCCACGTACGGCTAATAAAGATTCAGGTTCTGACTCATCAACCAGATCTCAGCCTGTCAGCCTTTCACACGCTGTAAAACACAGACTTCACTGTAAATCATGATCAATAACACCGTCCTGTAGATCTACACCACGTCACTCTTTAAGTCCCACATTTTCAATTTTAACCTAATTTGCAGGTTTTCACAGCGCCTTGTAATGCAAAGCCTGTTCAGCAGCTGAGCCTCACGCTTAATAAAGATGGTTCTTCAAGGGTTATTCAGCAAAAAGAACAGTTCTGTTTAGAACCATTTGCATGCTTATATGGTCCTTTGCATGGTAAGACTGTTCTTCAGACTGATGGAGATCATGCTGTACATAGTTATACTAAATAGGATAAACAAGGGGGGTTCTGTTACGATGTCAGACTTGTAAAGTGTAAGCGTGGTTCTACGTGGAACCATATACAACACAACACATTCTCCATCAATCTGAAGAATGATTTCACCATGCAAATGATTTGAGTGCCCATGGTTCTTTATAGAACCAGTATCTTTACCCAATCCCCCTTAAACAACCACCTTTTTTAAGAACGTATACAGAACCCTATACAACATGTTCTCCATCAATCTGAAGAACCATTTCACCATGCAAATGATTTTTGAGTGTCCATGGTTCTTTACAGAACCAGCATCTTCACCCAATCCCCCTTAAACAACCACCTTTTCTAAGAATATACATAGAACCCTATACAACATGTTCTCCATCAATCTGAAGAACCATTTCACCATGCAAATGATTTTTGAGTGTCCATGGTTCTTTACAGAACCAGCATCTTCACCCAATCCCCCTTAAACAACCACCTTTTTTAAGAATATACATAGAACCCTATACAACATGTTCTCCATCAATCTGAAGAACTATTACACCACGCCAGGAACCATTTCTGTACAGAACTCCTGGTTCACTGCCTTTGCTAAAGAACCCCTGAAGAACCATCATGTTTTAGGAGTGTAGCCAGATAGCCTTAGCTAACCCAACATCAGCCGGTTTAATAGGCCGTATTTAAACAGCATTAGGAACAGAGGAACCCTCCGCATTATTACCGAACCTTTATCAGCTCATAGCTGCGGTTTTCTTAATTAAACTCGAACTGAGTGAAGACGCAGCTCGGCGTCTCTGACGTAAACAGCTCGGCCCTCCTGCGCTGCGTTAGCATTAGCGTTAGCATTAGCGTTAGCTCGCTAAGCTACACGGCTCTCCTTCACCGTGTAAACCGGCTTAAATACGTCTGGTAATGTCAGATATTCCTGTAGCAGCTCCGCGATTACTCCAGCAGACTTCAACTGAGGGTTAAATACCTCTGTTCCACACAAACAGACGCGCCTTCCACAGCTGGCCCAGCCCGGCGGAGCGGCTAGGCTAGGTTAGCATCGAGGCCGTCCGGGTTTAACAGCCGCGCTGGAACTTCATTACTGACCACTCTCCAATTTCAGCCGCACTGACCGCGTCCGAACCGCATTAAAGCCAGTTACAGACTTTAAACCTCTATAATAGAACAGATGAAGCAGCTGCGGTTAGCTTCACAGCCGAACTCTCCGTTCCACCTTAAGCAGCCCGAGGCGCCTGAATGGACATCTGCAGCGTTTAAGGTGGAACGGAGAGTTCGGCTGCACCTGAGCGCGAGCAGCAGATTAAATAGGTTATATATCTCAGACCTGTGTCGGACTCCGCACCTGTAAACAGAGCTGAACAGACACGACAGAAAATAAAAACAATAAAAATATAATAAAGAATAAAAACTCAGAATCAGCCTCACTGTCAATCACAGCATCCGCGCGCTGCACCGCCTCACCGCGCTGCTCCCGGAAACACTGCACACGTCAGAGCGGGGCCGGTTGGCTGGTTGGTTGGTTGGTTTGCGTATCACATATTTTTTGGGTAGATTAGCCGTCTTGCCATCATTTATTTGTTTGTTTGTTAATTCGGTTTTTTTTTTATCATTTTTTATTCATCTATTGATTGATTAATTTATTGACTGATTGATTGATTTGAGTCACATATATCACTAGAGAAAGCCAGTAAAAAAAATAAGCAGCAAAATATGTGAAAAAATGTAAACTGCAACTAAAATTATAAAGAAAAAATAGAACAAAAAAAAACGTTAGCATGTTAGCTTATAGTGTGAATAAATAGTATTTGCTATAAACACGTATATATATATATATATATATATATATATATATATATATAAAACAAATACTCACTATTTATTCACACTATAAGCTGTAAGAAGGTGAGTAAAGTTGTGAAACGGGTCATATCAGACTGTTCTGAAGTAAATAAACTTGCTCAGCGGTAAAGTACACTGTTTACCTTCAGGGTGGTCTTGAGGGGCGACCAGATGAACCAACCTACCTGACGTGATGCTGTTCTAGATTCAGAAGAGCTGAGTTGTTGGCGTTAGTCACCATCATTAAAATGGGTTTGTTTGCACACATTAAGAGTATTTCATGGTCAGTAACAGGTTCTAGGGTGGGATTGTGCAGATAGCCCACTGCTGGGCTCATAAAGTTCAGCATGAGTTCCACCAAGTGATGGAGCTCTGCTAAGAACAGCGCAGAGGCCGGAACACCACACGGTACCGCCGACTTCACTGAGCCGAGTCGTCAGCTGATTTAGTCCCGGATGATCACGAGGTTTATTCCGGCCATTTAGCTGCATTATTGATGTGATCGATCACTGGACAATTGGTGAAGTTGGAGTTTTTGACCAATCACTGCTGCCATCTTTTCCCAGTTTGGTTTCTGGGATTCATGAAAGCTTTCTTGATAAAAAAACATGTGAAGGTTCTTTAGACAAACACTAAGAAGTTCATAAGAATGAGCCTCATTCACCAACCGTTCTTAATGAGACTAATTAATTTCCTCTTTAAACCCACTTACGCAGTTCTGACGAAGGTTCTGACTCACCGATGTTCTCTTATGTGGGATTTGTTCTTAGGTAAGAACAGAATCTACACACACTCAAGAGCACAAAGGTGAGAACAGTTCTGTGCTTTAAGAACACGTCAGGAATCTGACGGAGACTTTTTCTTAAGACCTTTATCAAGAACACACTTAAGAACAAACTTAGGAAGATACTGGAGAACGAGGCCCAATTCTGGAAAAAACACTTAAGAAGTTCTCAAATATTCTCTTAAGATAATCTTGATTGTTTTCTTATGTCAGTTATGTTGCATTTTACAGCTTTCCATAACTGACATGAGTTATATTTCTATTTGTATTAATATTTCTCTCCATTATTTAGTTTAATCCACTCAGAGGAACAAAATGGAGGAAAAACATCAAGTGTTTAAATAATTTCAACAAATAAGATCTCGAGGTGACGGAGGAAGAAACAGCCAACAGGAAAAAATCCTCCTTAGAAAATATGATAATTGTGGGGTGATGGTGAAAAGAAAGAGAGGAAGATGGACAGAAATGGATTAACTGTTAAATTTAGCCGCTGACCTCGTCAACATTCACAGCCTGAGACAGTGAGAGTCGTAAGATTCGGAAAACATTCAAGAACACAATGTTTTCAAGATTCACACTTATTCTTAGAATTATACTGAAACATAGTTATAGTTCTTAAAACAGTTAAGAGAAGAAAATGAAAGAATTCTGAAGCTATTTGAAGAATAACAGCTTTTTTCTTAAGAATTAAATTCACATTTAAGAAGTTTTTTTTTTTTCAAGACACTTTCGTGAGTCTGACTCCTGATTTTGAGCCATGCAGTTTATAGCAGAAGTGAAAAAGACTCAGAATCTGAACTCGAGGCTTCACAAAAGTGTCCAAATGACCATTTACACTGAATATGATACCACAGACGGCAGGAGGACACTGATCTCCCTGGTTATACAGTTAGAATTAAATGACTTACAGTGAATTCCAACTAAATGAATTTTAAACTAACAGTTTTGAGCCGCTGACTCTGCTTAGTCAGTCCTGAAAAATGAAAATTCATTTTAAAATGGAATTGAAAAACACTTCCTCTGTTTAGTAACTAAGTAATAAATAAAGTGAAATTATTAACATGTAGACAAAGTTAAGGATGATTAACACATCATGTAATAAAATCTCTGAGCTGTAAAGTCATTATTAGGGTGGTACTGATCTGGAGGTGGAGGCAGCAGCTGCAGACAGTAAATGAGTTTATTTGGGCTCAATATTCAGAATCAGAACTGCAGGATTTCAAACAGATACATTGGAGTAATATGAAGTCATAAACAGCAAAACTCCTGTTTTCATTATTTAATATGAACATTCAGTGCAGATTTCCACTTCATATCAGCCAAATTTCACCAAATTGTTTGAAAATCTAAATAAAGGCCAATTTAATTTAGATTTTTTAAAAATGAAACTGATTGGGTAACAAAGCACTCAAACCAAATTAACGCCATTAGTGCTTTATAACAGAGCCGCTGTTGGTAATTACAGCTTTGAGGCGTCTACAGTAAGAAGTAATGAGCTTGTTTTCAGGTTCTGTTTGGATCCGTTTCTCTCAGTGAACCGTCTTCAGTCCCCCCGAGATTACGAGGGTCTGAGTGACTCAATTTCAAAATCTTTATAAAGGTGAAAATGTGCACTGAAAGTGTGTAGAAAAGGTTCTGAAGACTCGATTCTGTCACTGTAGATGAGCCCTCCTGGTCCACAAGCGCCGGACTGGGTTTTAAAAGAAATCAACACCGGGCAAAGAAAACAGGACAACTTTCCCCAGCTGGGGCTCCTTTTGATGAGCCACATGAACCGTCAGGGCAGCACACTGGTTGTTTCCCACGTAGACCTGAGAGAGAGAGAGAGAGGGAGACAGAGAGAGGGAGGGAGAAGGAGAGAGAGACAGAGAGAGAGAGGGGGAGAGAGAGGGAGAGAGAGAGAGAGAGAGAGAGAGAGAGGGAGAAAGACAGAGAGAGAGAGAGAGGGAGAGATAGAAACTGAGAATCACTTCCTTCTTTCATGTTCAAAATATAAAACCATCAGAGACGCTTTTCTGCCCAAATTTACTAATAAAACCCCCTCCTTCCCCAAACTGACCGACTCCTTCCCCAAACTGACCGACTCAGAGAAAATGAAGATTTTACTGGGAGAAAATGTAGAAACAATAAGTTTAGCAGGACAGTTTATTCAGAACTGCCACAAGATCAGAGAAGAAAATGTAACACAGCACTTCAGTTATGTAATTAATATTTCTAATTCCTGATGTTCAAATTGTATTACATTTTTCATATGTACCTTGTTTGTTTGTTTTATTTATTTATTTATTTATTTTTAATTATTATTATTATTATTTTATTGTATTTTATTTTATTACATTTGGCATGTCCATACTCATTCTATGCTTATATGTATTACCATATTTATTTATTATTATTTTTTTCCCTATTTATTTTCTATTCATTTTTTTTTCCTATTCATGTATATTTTAATAATAATTCAATTTAAGATGTATTTACAGCTTTGGCAACATAGGTCATGCCAATAAAGCATATTTGATTTGATTTGATTTGATTTAAGAGAGAGAGAGATAAAGAGGAGGGAGAGAGAGAGAGAAAGAGAAGGAGAGAGAGAGAGAGAGAGAGAGAGAGGGAGAAAGACAGAGAGAGAGAGAGAGAGAGAGAAAGAGAGAGAGAGTGAGAGAGAGAGAGTTAATTATCTTGTGATCTCAAGATAAGAAAATTGTTATCTTGAAATAACGCCTTACTCATCTTTTTATCTCAAGATATCAATCCAGAAAATTATTGCAACAGTTCATGGCCTCTCCGGACATGCGTATGTATATATACTTATGTATATCTCCTAACATACACTGAATAAGTACATGTTTGATGATGAAGTGAGCATAATTAGTCCTGTTTAACTGGATTTAGTGCAGTGTGTAAAACAATGAAAACACATTATAATGGGTTATTATTATTATTATCATTATTATTATTATTATTATTGTTATACACTGTTAGAAATGAAGGTTCTGTTCAGGTCCATTTTTCCTTCATCAAGGTACAAACAGTGTAAATGTTCCCTCAAAGCTCCAACAGTGGTTCTAAGGTCTGATTGTGAACCTTAAATAAGTTTTTCCAGGTGAAAAGTTCGTATTTGTACCTTTTCATAACCGAATGTTTTAAACAGAACAGTAAAATAAAAGCCTGGAGACGAGACGGGGTGTGTGGAGTCAGTACAGCTTAGAACATATCATTTCAGTGGATTATGGTTCAGTTATGATCCCTGACTAAAGGTACTGAGATGGAGCCTTGAGGGTTCCACCCCAGTGACAAGAGGGGCACTGACCCAGGGACAGTTTAGGACCTTTATTTCTGAGAGTGTAGTATTTTTTATACATGGCATTAATTTCTATTTTCTCTTTTTCTCCAGTCCAACTTATTACCTCTCAGAAAAACTAAATATTGTGATGCGCATCGTTTATTGTGAAAAAGTGTTGAATATCGTGATTTAATATTTTTGCCGTATTGTTTCTAATCTGTACCTTATTGAAGGAAAGTTTACCTGCACAGCTCCTTTATTCTGACAGTGCTGCTGTGATTAACACCCTCAGTCTTGGTGAACAGGGTGGTCTGAGACACACAGAGCTGAGTGAAGACTGAGCTCGGGAGCAACACAGTGGACTCAACTGGACAAGCAGGTGAATGAAGTGAGTGAGTGCTGACGGTTCAGTAGCCGTTACAGAAATGATGTACCTGGATTTCATAGTTTGTCCCATTCACTATTTGTGATCTGTAGTCCAGCGGCTGGAAAACAGGGAATTTCCTTCTGGTCTTCGCCTCGACTTCAGCTTTTACCTGGAATTAAAAGGAGAGCAACAAGACGGTAAAATCAGACATTATTAATCAAGAAGTGAAAAGCAGATCCAACTGAAATATTCAGACAGTTTTATTGATTTATCTGGAACAAAGATGATCTGAACGTTACAGATGAGCTCATGACACTAAACATTCAGAGATACTTTATTCTGAGTCTTTTAGATCAAACAGGCTCTCAGTAACATTAGGATTAGGATTAGGGCCAGGGTGAGGATTAGGATTAGTGCCAGGGTGAGGGTTAGGATTAGGGCCAGGGTGAGGATTAGGATTAGTGCCAGGGTGAGGGTTAGGATTAGGGCCAGGGTGAGGGTTAGGATTAGTGCCAGGGTGAGGATTTGGATTGGGGCCAGGGTTAGAGTTAGGATTAGTGCCAGGGTGAGAGTTAGGATTAGGGCCAGGGTGAGGGTTAGGATTAGTGCCAGGGTGAGAGTTAGGATTAGTGCCAGGGTGAGAGTTAGGATTAGTACTAGGGTGAGGGTTAGGATTAGGGCCAGGGTGAGGATTAGGATTAGGGCCAGGGTGAGAGTTAGGATTAGTGCCATGGTGAGGATTTGGATTAGGGCCAGGGTGAGGGTTAGTATTGGTGCCAAGGTGAGGATTAGGATTAGGGCCAGGGTGAGGGTTAGGATTAGTGCCATGGTGAGGATTTGGATTAGGGCCAGGGTGAGGGTTAGTATTGGTGCCATGGTGAGGATTAGGATTAGGGCCAGGGTGAGGGTTAGGATTAGGGCCAGGGTGAGGATTAGGATTAGGGCCAGGGTGAAGGTTAGGATTAAGTTCTAGGTTGAGGTTAAGGTTACGGTTGGGATTAGGGCCAAGGTGAGGGTTAGGATTAGGTAGCTGTATATATAATTCAACTAGGAAATATAATCTTCATTCTGAAGTTTCAGTCAATATTCAGAGGATAAATATCGGCCAGTCAGACTGGATTAGATGAATTTACTGATATGAATTTAAATAAATCAAGATATTCACTAAACAGCAGGGCAGAATGGAAAAGTGAGGAAATTCTCATTCACCTTCTTGCAGATGTCGATTTCATTTGCACCAGCTTCCTTCCAAGGAGACCACCCGCCAAGCTGTTCGGAGGACATGGTTCTTCAGGCTTGTTCTGCAGTAGAATGGAAGAATCTGACCAGAGTGAACGAGTGGAGCGTCTGTGTTAAAGGCGCTGTAATTCTGCCCTATTTATACTGTCAGGATCACATGATGACTCAGATGGAATGAACCATCAATCAGCACTGAATCAGGATGACGTTTCAGCTGTAACCTGCATAATTATTAACTCCACTACAAACCTACTGTTCAAGAGTCAAATACCTTCCTTTGTTTAATTTCAGTACAAGTTATTAATCTTCAGCATCAGGAAACAGACATTTAACAGGAAATGACACAGAAGCCTCAACGGCTAAACCCAATATCAGATGATTCAGTGTTTAGTGTGTCACTCTTTACCTTTATTACAGCTTCCATTCGGTGGTGTTGAGGTCTGGACTCTGGGGTGGTCAGTCCATCGTTCAGCTTCTTTGTTTGATGTGTCCGTCTCCTTTTCTCAGTGAGGTTCTTCTTGATCAGCTACACATCCTTTCAGACCCACAGCGCTGAGTCGTCTTCTCACAGTGGAAGGATGGACAGAAACACCTGTGGATGTTTTCAGATCTGATCAGCTTGATTTTCTCCTCTCTCTCAGAGATGAAAGCTTTAAATGCTGTTTATCTGATGGGGGCAGTTTTGGTTGCTACCAGGTCTTCCAGGTAGTTGTTAGGAGACACAATTCCTCTGTAGGATTTAATCAGTTTTTTTATTCTTTTTTTTTCATGTTGACTCTCTCCTTCCTTGTGTGACTGTATTATATCTTATATCTAATCTCTTCACAAAGATCCCCTGAAAAATCAATCATTTGTACTTAATGGCTGATTTAAACTGGAGATGAAATAAATGAAGGGTGGACTGAAGGGCACTGTTTCTGTGGTACACAAACCTGCAGCAAATCCTGTACAAGGAAACATTTTTGGCGAGTGCTCAGTTTCCTGGTTAACCCGTCTAACTGCAGCTGTTTGTTAAAATGCTGGGTTCCATTGAAGTATATTTAAAAGGAATACTTCTGTAGAAGAAGGCAAAAACACTCTTAACTTATAGTATAAGTTGAGGTCTGAAGCTCTGTGTGCTCTCTTTTGCAGGGGATTGGAATGTTTAAAGTAAGGGGCCCCCTGGTCCAAAGGCCCCATAGGGAGTAGGTCTCTCACTTTCTCCCTTCTTCTCTTAGTTCCAAATAGATGAGATCATTTTAAAAAGGACCGTATGTTCTGTCTTCTGTTTCAACAACAAGAACCATATATAAGCAGTTGGAATATTCTGTTCGAGAGGGGACACTTAGAATTGGCACGGATCCTCTCTCAGGTACTTCATAGTGCTTGATGTGATACTGACAAGCAAGACGGTGTCAGCGGAGACTCCTTCATCATCTTCACATCATTGCTACTTAATAGACAACATCATGCTCATTCTTTAGACCCAGTTTCTCTAGATTGTGGACTTGTAGGCTTATTTTGGAACTGTAGGCGTGAGCAGGAGTACCTGACTGGTGTAATAGGCTAAACATTTGCCCCACCATCAGGAGATCATGAGTTCAAATCCCATCAGAACCACAGCCGCCTGCAGCTGGTAGTCAAAGAGGGTGAAGCCCATGCCAGCCTCTGCTCCCTGAGCCTGCTGGAACTGTGAGACAGTGGGAGTCCCACCCAGCAGAGCAGCTGGTGGGTCAGTTCTGCAGTGCTGCTTTAAAGGGAGCTGAGATGCGGCTCTCTAATGGCTGGAAACAGGCTGGGTTCTGGGAACCGTATCTGGGCCTCTCTGGGCCATCATTCCATGCAGTATGTGGGCTGCTGCTAAATGCCGGATGTGTCCCAGATTGATTTGGGCCGTATTAAAGACGGTTTCTGGGAGATGAACAAAAGAAACACTGAGCAGGAATCTTGTAGCTTGTGGGAATGACGGTGTTGCAGGTTCTGAAGATTAGATGCCTGAACGTTCTTACTGATCTATCTACACTACAAAGGGTTCACATGTCACTCCTGTTAATAATAATTGTTATTTTCTGTTTTTGTGTTTTAATATTGACAAACACTCACAAAGCACTTTATTAGGAACACCTCCTCATATCCATCCTACTGGCTCCACTTATCACAGAGGAACACATTGTAGTTCTGCACTTACAGACTGTTCTTCAGTGGTCAGGACCCCCATGGACCCTCACAGAGCAGGTACTATTTGGGTGGTGGGTCATTCTCAGCACTGCAGTAACACTGACGTGGTGGTGGTGTGTTAGTGTGTGTTGTGCTGGTGCGAGTGGATCAGACACAGCAGTGCTGCTGGAGTTTTTAAACACCTCAGTGTCGCTGCTGGACTGAGAATAGTCCACCAACCAAAAATATCCAACAGCGTCCTGTGGGCAGCGTCCTGTGACCACTGATGAAGGACTAGAGGATGACCAACACAAACTGTGCAGCAGCAGATGAGCTATCGTCTCTGACTTTACATCTACAAGGTGGACTGACAAGGTAGGAGTGTCTAATAGAGTGGACAGTGAGTGGACACAGTGTTTAAAAACTCCAGCAGGACTGCTGTGTCTGATCCACTCGCACCAGCGCAACACACACTAACACACCACCACCACCACGTCAGTGTTACTGCAGTGCTGAGAATGATCCACCACCCAAATAGTACCTGCTCTGTGAGGGTCCATGGGGGTCCTGACCACTGAAGAACAGGGTAACAAAGTATGCAGAGAAACAGATGAACTACAGTCTGATTCTGATCCTGTACAAGGAAACATTTTTGGCGAGTGCTCAGTGCTCAGTTTCCTGGTTAACCCGTCTAACTGCAGCTGTTGTTAATGCTGGGTTCCATCCTCGTTCTTTAGAACCTGTACATGAACGAACTCTGCATAGAAACTCTTCTGAGATTGTGAATCACCACAAACAGGCTGAACGTAAAGAAAGATTTATAGAAAAACTCTCTACAGACAATCTGGCTTATCAAACCATTAAATCAACATGTAATATAGTTCATCAAAGTTCATTAGAAACATGTTCAATGTTGAAATAAGCAGCCAGTTAAAATGTGGAATTTTAAAATAGAATAATGGTGATATTTGAACAACCTGGATGGATTTAATAGTTAAAATGTGAATGTAAGAGTTAAAATTTCTCAGGATAAAGCAACAACTTACAGCCACGATCACCTTTTCATTGGACACAACTGGAGATGAACCAAAGAAGGAAAGCAGAACGATGGATGGGGCTTTAACTCAGTTATACATTCTTAAAAACATGGTTCTTCAAGGGTTCTTTAGTAAAGCTGTTTCTTAAATGACTTCTAAGAAAAAGTTTCCGTCAGATTCATGACGTGTTCTTAAAGCGCAGAACTGTTCCCACCTTTGTGCTCTTGAGTTTGTGTAGATTCTGTTCTTACCTAAGAACAAATCCCACATAAGAGAACATTGGTGAGTCAGAACCTTCATCAAAACTGCGTAAGAAGAAATTTCTTCTTAAGAACGTTTGGAGAACGAGGCCCAGTAGTTCTACACTCGAAGAATCTTTTTCATATTTAAAAGGTTCTTTGCATTGTGAAATGTTTTATACGGTTCTTTATAGAACCTTTTTGAAAAGGGTTCTAAATAGCACCAGAAAAGGGTTCTGCTATTATTACAAGCTTGACACTGTACACAATAGCATAACCCTTTTTGCTGCTATAAAGAACCATATACAACACATTCTCCATCAATCTGAAGAACCTTTTCACCATAGAACCATTTAAGCATGCAAATCTGTGTTGATGGTTCCATGTAGAACAACTGTCTTTACTAAAGAATTGTTTTCTTTTCTTCCTGGGCCAGGATTCCTCGGCCACACCACCACCCCACCTCTTACAGGGACATTCAGTTTCCTTTTTCATTTCACTATTAATGTCACAGCTCATCATTTATTAATAATCATACAGTGGTACTACAACCACCCAACCCCCCTCCAAACATCACAACTCCGCCCACCCATCGCTCGCTTTGAGTGGAAGAAAACACAGAGATAATTGAGAGATAAAGCAGAAGTAAACAAATAATAATAATAATAATAATAATAATAATACTCAACAATGGACAAACTGGACAAGACAGACATGAACAAAGTTGGAAAATTAGTGCCCTTTTCCTTTTTTTAACACTATAATTATAACATGGGTAGCTCTCAAATCCTATCTATGGGTTTTAACCTTTTCCTGATGGGTCTGGAGACAGAAATCAGCTCTCAATATATTGTAAAAAGTGTGACCAGGTTTTCTTGAATGGTTTTGTATTATTATTATTTTGCGGTGAGTCTTTCCAGGTTGCAGTGATCCACGAGGAAGTTAAACCGATGCTTTACTGAGATTTTGGTCCCGTCCTTCCAGTTCAGCAGTGTAACTTTTCATTAAGTAGTGCTGCAATGGGACATAAAGGGATGACAAGGCCCAAAATCTCTGATAGCCTGATAATCTGTGACCTGAGACAGTGTAGTTTTAAGTGTGTGTGTGTGTGTGTGTGTTGGCGGGGGGGAGTGTGTTACAGAAATTTCCACTATTGACTGTTTTCTTTAGAACATCTCTGAGTTGTATATAATGAAAGTGACAATTATCTGGCATATTGTATTTTGTTTTATGTCATTAAAGGTCATGAGCAGGTCACCAGCGGACAGCTGTGCCAGGCTGGTTATTCCTCTCGGCTTCCAGGCTGAGAATATAAATTGTTTGTTATTTATTAAAAACATGGGATTGTTCCACACAGCAGTGAGACCAGAGGGACAGTGGCTGTAGTTAAGAATTTTGTTTGAATTCCAAGCATTAAAGATAATAGTACTTACTGTACTGTACTTATAGAATTTTATTTTATTTTTTTTTGTTTTGTCTATATATGGAATACTATTAATGTCCAGTTCAGTCCAGAAACAAACTTTTCTCGATGTCTAACCACAGTTGGTTTGAGTTACTTGTCCAATGTCTGATGTGAAGCAATTAGTCTGATAGAAAGTAGTAATAGAAATTTGGGGCTCCACTGTAACTTTTCAATTATTATTATTATTATTATTATTATTATTATTATTATTAGCTGTCTTTCTTTTTTGTTTATTTTAACATATAAAATAACCAACCCACATCCTCCACCCACATTATCGTGGGTCAGTAAATGATTCAGTGATTCTGACAGTATAAATAGAGGAGCTGCAGGAAGAGAAATGAAAACCTGCTCAGATCTTCCTGTTCACATCTTATATATATATATTATATATATATATATTTACTCCAATGTGCCTGTTTTACATCCTGCAGTTCTGATTCTGATTATTGAGCCCAAAT